CAGGCACCTGGCTCAGGTAGTCCCAGGGGGAACCACAGTTGCAGAGGGAAGCACCAGGCCTCTGCGCAGCTCAGGCAGGCTCCAAGGGGGAAACAAAAAAAAAGAAAAGAAAAGAAAAGAAAAGAAAGAGATTATCTCACTACTTTTCTTAGGCAAAGCCTACTTTCCTAGGCTGCTGCCAGGCTGCCTGCAGGGCTTCCTGCAGAGCCCCTGAGCTGCACAGAGCACAGTGCTTTGCTCCACAGCTGTAGGGACAGCAAACTAAAACTCTGCGGAGGAGTTTTAGTTTGCTGTGCCCCAAGTCATGTAAGGTACATTACACCGCCAAATTTCCTACAGCGACTGGAATTAATGTGCAATATGCTGCCGAGGTGCGCAAACACCAACACTGTTAAAGTGGTGCAAAAGCATTTAGCCCGCTTTAAAGTGTCGTGCATGCTCTCCCCTCATTTAGTCTACACAGGGCCCAGAATCTCAATGGACTGTTGATTGTCTCTAACATGCACTGAAGGAAGCGGGGGGTGGAAGTGGTCCATCTTCCAAAGAAACCAGAAGACCACTATCTTTCCCACAGGGTCAATACTCTGGTAGGGCTAATAAAGGGTTTCTTGGATGGATTTATTGCAGGGTCATTTTGAGGAAAGTGGATTGTTATAACCTACTGTTACAACTTCACCCATATTGTTTGGTTTAGTTGGCATAATCATTCAAACTTTGTACTTTGAGGTTCCCTATTACTAGATTTATGTGGAGTTTAGGTGCAGTAAGGGTGAGTTTACAACACACTTTTACAAGTTATTCTCAATTAAACTGGCTTGTTTTAAACAGATGCAGTTCCTGTTTCCCCACCCCTCACATCACTGCCAATGCACTGACTTCCCAAACTGTCACATTTTACTGAAGTATTCTGGCTTATTGTCTCCAAAAAAGGAGACTGTCCCAGACTGCTGAGTGATTTGGGGATGTGGCCAAGAAATCCCCCAGGGACTACGAAGAGATGACTAATCTCTTTTATGAGAGGTTTCCAAGATCGAAAGAAAAGAGCACTAATCAAATGTGACACCTAATTGTACTGGCAGCTAATAATTATAGCTTGACAGTAGAAATTCAGAGGAATATAAAGGTTAAACCACCCTGATTATTAAGCACTTTTGTGGGGGCCTACTAGATATGGGGTGAAAAAGAAAGCTTGTACTTAAAAAATGAACATATATGCCATTAGAACATGTTTGTTATAAACACTGCAAAATGGAATTCTTACGTCACCATTCAAATCAACCTCTTTTACAAACTAAAAACACTGATTTAAAATGGAATCATACCTGACCATAACAACCTGCATAATGAATAAGGCTTGGGTGATCTTTAGAGCAACTCAATTCGGCAATAGCTTCCGTTTCACTCACCATCCACCGTACACACTCCAACTGACCGTTCTAAATGGAGGAGGAAGAGTTAAAAAAAATCCAGCTGCTTCAGATTCAACAACATTATCTACTAAATAGTAAAAATTCCATCAGGATCACTTATATATTGTGACTGTCACATAAATCATTCTGTTTTTTTCCAAGGTTGTTTCTGCATCAACCAATAATATACTTTTGTATCCTGGCGCCCAGGACCAATTACAATTTGGCTACTGGCAATGTTCTCCCTACTTAAACTTCCCCTACAGTTTTAGATGAACAAACTGTTCTGCCTTCCCCTCCTAAAATCAGCTATAGGGAGTTCCTGACATAGAATGGTTACTGAAGAGCAATTCATATGGGGTTGCCTTTCAAGAGTAAGCGAAGCAATACTTACATGCACATTGCACAATGTGCATTTTTCAGAATGTAAAATGCTGCTTGTGTTACTCCTCTCACTACTCCCCAAAACTTAGTAGATAGTGGGTGAATCTACATATGCCCTTTACTGCAGAGTAGATTAATTAGCTCCACAGTAAAGTGTCACCATCTACACATGCACTGGTATTAGGTCACAGTAAATTAATTAACTCTGTCATATGGTGGTATCATCCCCAACAATACTGTCTTACAGTGGAGTACTTACATTTACATGTAGAAGGTGAAAGGGGCTTGCTGGGGCACAAGGGTGCTAAAGTGCAGGGGCTACCTGCTACCTAGTCCTGCACTTTACCATCTTCGTGCCCCAGCCAGCCCCTCTGCCACCCAGTGCCACCACCCGGAGCCTTGGGCTGACCCCCCAGGGTTTCTGTCAGCCTGAGGCTGCTCTGCCCTGGCTCAAAATGCTGCAGTCCCAGGCACAGGTGTAGACACTATGCCTGAGAGCAGTTGACTCTGTCCTTTTGACCTTTTGTATTTATGTTTTTGTTGTCAAATAGCTAAAGGCTACTCTGTAGGTTATTCTTGTTGAGTACCTGTATTATTATGGCATCTATAACTGGAGCAATGGATTTAAGATACCACTGTGGCTAAGCGTTGTATATGCACAGAAGAAAGAGCCCTTGCCCGAAAAGCTTTACAGTCTAGTCCCAGATCAACAGATCAGTGCATCTAGGATTCTGAAAGCTAGGAAAAACAATTTAACTACCAATGGCACACAGACATCAAGTTCATCTCTTAATTTGAAAGATGGCACTTGCCAAAATACAATGCTTTTCTGATGCTATATTGGGATACTGGTTCACTAAAAAGACTAATCTCTTGAATTTTCAAAGATTTTTTTCACTACAGGTCTTGCCAGGCCTGTGTCAATTACCAGACTTTTTCCTATGAAGAAAATTAAAATAACCAAGGAAACAAACTCTTGCACAGTATTTCCCATTCCCAAGTTTCTTGCTGAGGTACCTACTGAAAGTGACTGCATTAAACCATATTTACTAAAGACCCTAAAAACTGTTCAACTGTAAACTTCCCTGTGCACCACTATACTTTACTACAGCACAGTCATGCTTTCCTGTATAACAGACTATCCTGGAAGTTTTGACTTATTCTCAGATGACATTATTTTCTGTAGTTTCTGACAGGTTGCATACTATGCTATTTAGAAGGTAAATGTTAATTGAGGTTTGATACTCCAGTCTGCTTTAGATGACTAAGTGTCAGCTTCAGATCTGGCACCTTTAAAAAAGTTTTAGAACCAAGCAAAAAGTACTTTGAAAACACTCCCTCATGCTCATTTTAATATATTTGTATTAGTAAAAAAAACCCAAGACACCACTATGATGAATAAAGGAGTCCTTTACTCACAGAAACCCTAATGTGAATCACCGAAAATGGTATAAATAAAAAATTCAACAGTCTTTCTTTAATGCCCAGAAGTTTAACTGATTTAAAGTTAGGTTAATGTATCAACCAACAATCACCTATACAATAAGCAATGGTTTATGACAAATTAGATTCTTTAACAGTACCACATTTTCATTTGTTTGTGTGATATCAGCCAACTTTAGAAGTATCCTTTCTACATCCATTTTTTACCCAACTGAATGAAAAGGTCTTGAAAAATAACATCCTGTTGATATAAATATTATTTACAGCCATCATGGAGCTTTAAAACCAAGTTACCTTTATTGCTAATCCAGCTGGAGTTAGTTGTTCACTGTTCCGTTCATTCAAACAGTCTTCTCCCATCAAAGAAGTGAGATGCTGCAAACATTCAGCATGTCCCTGTGATGCTGCTATGTGCAACAGATTGTTGTTATTTTCATCATGAATTTTGTCCAGATTGTCTGCTGCCAGGTGTGGCTGTACAAAAAAAAAAAAAAAAAAAAAAAAAAGTGTGGCTGGACAAAAAAAAAAAAAAAAAAAAAAAAAGTATGAAAAAGGTGAAAAATCAGTACATCACATGTGCAAATTAGAAAAATGTATGTTGAACCATGAAGCTTACAAAGCAAACAGTTTGTGAGAAGACAAGGAAATGTCCCTGCATGTTCTACTTGTCCATAATAGGGATTTTATACTTTTCCTGTAAGCTGGGACTGGCCTATATTAGAGACAGGGGGCACATCTACACATTCATTAACGCACCTTAGATACTGCACATTTAGTTTACTAATTCCGTAATAAAGCACTAGCTAAATGTGCAGTACCTAAAATTACTGTGCAGTAGTGCCAGTGCACGATTATTTAGTGACACTTACTGTGCACTAGCCTAATAACACTGTGCAGTAGGCTATTAGCACTGTTTTTGCTGTGGCATGCTACTGTGCACTGTTATTAGGCCAATGCGCAGTAAGCATCTCGTGTCGATGCACCCAGGATAAAGGACTAGGTAGTGGTTATGTTGTTGATATCAGTCTCATGCAATTACTATGAAAGGTCATGTTTTGTGACACAGTCTCTTAGTATATTATTTTGTCAACCAAAATAAAACATGAATATATTTTCTAGCCTAACTGCATGTCTTACGATTTGTCCCTTTTCTTTTTTGCTACTACCTCTAGGAAAACATCAATTTAAAGTGTCCATGATGCTTCCCCAGTAAATGCATGTGCCAAGGGCCAAATTTATCCTAGTCCATGGCGAGTTTCAGTTTCTGTTAAATACAAAGAAAAATGTAATTCAGCTCCATGACATCTGAATGCTATGCTAATTTGTGAACTGATTCCATTAATAAAACCTGTATTGTAATAATGCTTGTGAATATTGTGCTACACTGCACAGACATATGGTAACATGTAATCCCACCCAAATCTATTTTTACAGCAAAATATAACAAGTGGCTTTGAGAAATAACAGGAGAGAGATTAAAAAAGGAAGACAAGAGATTAACCATGATGAGATCATGTAACTATGCATATTAGCTAATACATGCACTTGATGAGTCTGTCTCAATTAGTTTTTTTAAAATATATCCAAAAAAAATCTGGTTCTCTTTATTTCTAATTTTTGGATGAATGACTTGGTTTTATTTCTCCTTTAGTATTGTGACAGATTCCCCTGCCCATTACTAGTCTTTAAGAACAGTTTTGGTTAGTGTTAAAAAGTGACATTGTGCTTATTCTAAAATGTTAAACCTGAACCAAAAAAAAAAAAAAATCAGTACAAAATAGTTTGTGCACATATGCTACTGTTCTGACAGTCTTTGCGAATTGTTTCCTTGGCTTGCATCCTGTTGTTAACTTGGATCTTGTTTCTTTGGAAACGAGTATTGATGGTGTCTGATCGCAGAGCTGGAGCTAACTAAAAACTTCATATGGGACAGAGGGCAGTCAGGCTTTAGAGTGAACTCTTGTCTGCAAATGCTGTTGCAACCAATTGGCATGAACACTCCTGCATAATAATCAGAACACAACAGAAGCCTCTCTGTTCTCATGGGAAGTAACTGATGTAAATGACAAATAACCGAACAAAATGAACTGCAAACATTTTGAAAGGACTCCATTCAGATTCAAATGTATTGCACAAGTGGATTCTAAAATTGAAAGCCTCTTTATTTTAAATTATTTCAGTTTATTTTTGTCTGCAACTATCTAAAATTATTGCTAGTTTAGCTAAACATGTGATTTAAACTCCACAACTTTCAATTGAAAACTCGTACCCTCAATTTCTAATTAAGGGTGCACAGAGTTGCAGTGCACGATACACATGAAGTCAACCGACTGATTTAAAGTATCAGTATAGTGTTCTTTTCTACATGTTTTACAAAAAAGAGGACACTTACCAATAATGATATTTGCCCTTCTTTCACAATATTTAGGATACTTTTAATTTTTTTCACATCTTCACTCCTTTCTTCTGGGCCTCCTACACTGTTCCAGTTTATATTACTGTTCAGTTCATCAAGTTTGTTTTCTGTCACTGCCGTCTGCAGATGAAAAGTCCTCAGCTGGCAGTTTGGCATGGTCTTCTCAGTTTTATGAGCCTGGGGATCAGCAAACGTTCTGCTGAGGAAGCCCTTGCTTTGGGATTCAGGTTCGTGGACTGAACTACATTTAACTAGAGGCTGGGAAAGCTCTAGTTCTTCATTCAAATGCTTGTGCTGATCAAGGACAATGGGCTGCATTTTTCTCAGCTGAGAGTTTTTCACAGGGGACAGAACACAAAACTGTGTTGTGCTGGCTGGCAAGTTTTCAGTGTTCCCTGCAGAGCTGGTTTTGCCACTAAGGCCATTCAGTGTTGAATATACACCCAAAATCTTTTTCTCTGGTGCCACCTTAGTAAAAGCAGTGAGTTGCTGATTTGATTTAATGTAAGGCACATCCAAAATTTCATCCATATCCAGGTCATAGTGCTCCAGCTCCCCAAGCAAAACGCCGGCCTCAATGCTTTTACTTTTAAGGTTCTCTCCATCTCCTGGGCACTGATCATCGTTCTGAGGTGCAGAGTGAGAATCACTACCTTTCTGATACTCTCCCTTCTGGTTCTTTTGGTCATCACTTTCATTGTTTTCAGAGCAATCTGGCTGGTGCTTCAGTGGGGAAACCCTCTTCACTGGTCTGAACTTATTGCACATATCTGTAATTCCTCCCGGTTTTTGTGCATTTCCAATAAGAGTTGAAACACCACAGCTCCAGCTGGTGCTGGAAACTGCAGAAACAAAGGAGTAAAATTTAGAACTATCAGTATCAAATATAAATGCTCATTATATTGTATCTTCAGAATATGCAATACTCATGACAAAACAAGGGGAATACACATTACCTGAAAACATGCCGCATTTACACGTAAGCAGATTTATGATTAATCTTACTCCTGCTACAGGAATGTGAGAGACAAGTATTATTGAAAATATATTTGTTTCAAATTCCACATACCATTTCAATGCCAAGAACAAAATTATTTGTAATCAGAGAAACCAAAAATTGAGCCTAGTGGCATTCATGACAGCTCCAAGCCAAGCTCTATTCTTTTTATTTCACTGGACTGTCCTGTAGCAGTTGGGTATTTTTCTGGGTGTGTAACAGTAGGATGGGTTGACAATTTTGCAAATTTGTTCATGGAGGACTGTTATTTTACAAGCAGAAATATGTTGATGAATTGTGTCCATTTTTACAGAAAATGTTTGCAGAAGAATTGAGAATATTTTTGTTTATGCCATTCTGGTGCTTCCTGGGAGGGATAATTCAATTGCTTCAGAGCCCCATTCTCCTCTACAGCCTGTGCTCCCCTGCTAGATTTTGTAATATCTACCAACTCCCAGAATCAGTGATATCCTGATAAAGAGTTTCTTTTATATTTATAAATCACATCAATGCGTTTTCCTTTTCAGATCACTTTTATCAAGAATTAACACATTCTAAAATTTAATAGCACAATATAAGCATAATAGATTTATTACACATTAACTATGCATGCAATATCAGTGGAGTTTAATTCGTGATCACGTACACAATTTGTACCAAACACCTTTCTTAAGAAGCAGTTATATACTTCTTCAGCAAGGCTATTAAAGCTTTAGTAATTGGGGCTGTATGAATATTACCTTGGTATCTTTGGAAGTTCCTAAGAATATACTTCTCAGGAAATAATAAAAATAATAGTAATAAAAAGGCATATAACTTAGTGGGCCAATACAAAGAACGCATTGTACTGATTTATTTATATATTGTATAAAATTGTAAGTTCAAAGGGCTACACTTTTATGTTGGTTTTATTTACATGTGAAATTTTTTCCAAGTGATACAGGGAAATGGATACCATATGTTTCCCAGCTGTTTTGTTCTGACAGGAACCATTAAGGACTCTGTATGGAAATGAATTCTGTCTGAGTCTTATGAAAACAGTGCTTTCAACAGAGGGGTCTAGACAGAGGAACAGACATCAACCTTTTGTTTGTCATCACTTTCCTCATACTTAGATCCATTCTGTTTCCAGGCTGACCTGAGCTATCTTTTTCCATTTTCTGATCTTCAAAATCTAATTCTACACAGAATACTGATGGGACAGTGTTAATATTCATGTTAAGAGTCAGGAAAGTCTGACTTTTACAAACCATTCCTAAACATGGTCATTTATTTCTCTTTTTCTTCATCACAACCATGGTAAAAGTCAGACACCTTTCATTGACTCATTTTTCCTTCTACTTTGTTCAGTAGGTAAGCAGGATCACATCTTTCTACTTACTGCCCATCAAAAAACACAATAACTCTTTATGTTTTATGAACTCATTAATATACTTTTGGTTTTTTTTCTTTGAACAGGACCATGGACTTACACCGCACACAATAAAGTGCTAGATTACTGCATGTAACATTAAGGGGGTTGTACAGGCATTATCTCTCTTGGTGCTGCTTGCTGTGCACAGAAGGCACATGTTTTATATCAACCACTAGATTAGTGCAGTGTGGCTCCCCTGATACCAGCCTCAGTCCACAGACCAGGAGCAGTGCTATGACTGAGACTCCTCCCTCATCCTCAGAAGTTTGATTCTGCTTGCTCAAGGAACAAGTAGCGGCTGTGATCTCCAGTGACTTTTATGAGTAACCTTTAGCAGCTGTTCCACAGGAGAAGCCTCTTGCTCATCCCTCCACATTTATGGAGTCATGCAGAGGCCACGGACAATTTGGGTCAAACAAATACAAATTGATTTACTGGTCTGGTGGCTAAGACAGGGAACTGGGATCCAGAACAGCTGACTCTATCCCAATGTCTGTTGTAAAGTCCTGATGTAACCTGGGATAAGATGCGTGTGTTTCCTGTATCTCAGTATCAACTATAAAAAAAAAGACAACAATACTTAACCAGTTCATTGAGTGTTGTAACATTACATTCACTGACTTTCACTCATTCATGCTTAAGGTGCTTAGATGCTATAGAGATGGCTGTCACGCCAGAGGGATGGAAAAAATCTTTTACAACCTTTTCACTGACACTTATGACGTGTGACGCTTGTACAAGGAAAGCATTGCCCTGATATTTACAATAAAAGTTAAACTGCTAGGGCCAAAGCTTCAAAAGCAGTTGCTGGCCATAAGTTGGATCTCAAAAGCAGTAAATATGCATAAATACTAAATATACATAAATTTGTAGTGAAGTAGTTGCATTATCTCTTTTGATGTCCCTTGAGCTGTTTAAAGCTAACTGCAGATTCAGAAAGATACTCCTGTAACAATTAAAAGCATATGCTTTCACAATAATGGCTAGAAAGGCAATCCAAAAAGGAGGACAAATTTAAAATAACTTCTTTGACTATACAATCACCTGAATATTACAGTAACCAAAGTTTGTCTAGCTGGAACTTATCAGTAGGGAATCCAGGAGCACTTCTGAACTATGAATCAAACCAAGCACCCTTGGGTTGTATCTTCAACCCAGTGAGACTGCAAACTCCTCAAAGTGCTTTTCCTGCTTACCAGCACTATCAATGGCTCATTTAGGATCAAGCTGGTTGAAGCTTTAGGATCAAAATAATTCTCATCACTGCACTTATCCATCCAGTGAGCCATGTAGCTGGTAGTGGTATTGTTATACACTGTAACAGATAAGTAGAGCTGGGTGCCATCTATGCATTGCTGGCACTTCTGTGCTCATTTTACCAGTTCACCCACTGGCTACATGTTGATGTTAAACAAGATCGGAGAGATAATTGAGTCATAATTACTGTGTGGGTGAAGGGTTTAGTGTAGAGCTGGGCAATTATTTTGGATGGAGAGCTGCTTACTGAGTTTTGGGCTGCAGGGATAGCCCCACCCCTTGACAGTTTCCCCGCCCCCTGGTCACCATATTGGGACTGCAAGTCCAGCCCCCAATCCCTGACCTTTGCTACTAGAAGTCCCTTGTCTTGCCCTGGAAGTACTCCTTTTGAGAGGAAGGGTGCTGCAATCTTGAAACCAGAAATAAAACCCAAATCATATACAAAAAATTATATCTACTATAACTTACTTTAATTTTATTTTAAAATATTTTTGTACTGACATGTGTTTACAAAATGCATCTAGGCATGACTGCATAATAGCTCAAAATGCAGTCCTACTGTATGGTGTGTGTGGGAAAGAGCGCGAGAACACGTGCATGCGAGCCAGGCTGCTGGCTCCATTGCGTGTGGCTCTTGCAGACTGCATGCGAGCTTCATGTGATGCAGCCAGGCAGACCCTGTGCTCAGGCTCCGCACTCCTGCCACCCCACCCTGGGTCCCTGCCAATCCCATGGCACTTGCACTGGCTTCACACCCACGAGATGCTGCCACCGTTTCCCTACTTTCCCTCCTGCATGCTTGCTCGCCATTTCCCATGCTGCTCCCCGCAGCCCCCACTGCTTCCTGTGCCCCACCCTTCCCACCACTGCTTCCCTCCATCCCCTGCCCACTGCTTCCTGCTCTGGCTCCAGCTGAGCCCGGCAAGCACCATGGGCCACCCAGGTGCTGGGTGGCTCACAGCGGTTTCCCCCCATCCAATCTTATCTTACTTTCCACTCAGATGGAGGGAGGCAGGGAACAGCTTCAGGATCATGTGGTCAGAAGCTGCAGAGGCTTCAGGTTTGGGCTGGGGGGCTGGATGAAGCTGGGCTGGCCTTGCTGCTCAGCTGCTGGGTCCTGCCACAGGCTCCCCCTGGGTCCTACTGCCGCTGGCTACCTGTCATCTTTGACAGACAGCTAGGGGCAGATAAAAATTAATTTTCTAAAATTTTTAGAGGCCCCATGGGCCAGAGAGAATGGCTTGGTGGGCCAGATTAGGCCTGCAGGCTATATTTTGCCCACCCCTGGTTTAGTGGGCAAAGTGCAGTTTCCTATTGTTGTGCTTTAAGTGCTTCTCCCATAGGAGGACTTCAAGTGTATCGGTCCATTTCCCTGGTCTATGGCCACTTCTCTCAGAAAGAAAACAATATCTCTACGGAATGGATCAGGAGAATGAGAAGAGATAACTTCCCTCTATTCATCCACATCTAATCATCATGTTAGTGCAAATAAATGCTGCTTGTCCTATGTCCTGCTTGGTCTGAATCCTGATTATGATGAGTCTGGAATATTGGCATCAATCAAATAAGCTTGTAGCAGGTATTTGGATATCTACTGCTAGGTACAGACACTCTCAGTACTGCAGTATCAGAGTGCCTCAAATTCTTTAATGTATATACATTAATAACAGAGCTGTGATGTAGGGAAGTATTACAGATGGGAAATGGAGGTGTATGAAAACTGGGCATAAGTTTCTCAAGGATATTTAGACACTTAACTCCAACAGATTTGAGTTAGTGTTGATGGGAATGGGAGTTACAAGCAAATACCTTTGAGAGCCTGGTCTTAAGTGACTTGCAAGAGTTAGACAGGAAGTCTGTGGCAGAACAGGAAATGTAACCCAGGTCCATGCCCTAATCTTAGATCATTCTTCCTCACTGCTAATATCTCTATGATCTAACTCAGAAATGGAAGGCTTGACAATAGATAGTAACTGGCCAGATCTAACATACACCTGTATGCAGTCTGGGTTGGTTAGGCAACTGCATATTTGAAGAAGAAAATAAAGGATTTCTAGAATGAGGCATTTTCTTTCTAGAATGAGGCACTGGTATTCTGGTCAAGAGTTGGTTCCAACTTTCTTTCCCCAGCTGGTGAAAGGCCTAAGTAAGATTTATAGCTTCTTCAGGGACTA